CAGCCATCGTTGACTGATGAGGCCGTTTTCCACCTTCATGGAGAGTATAACAAAAACAGTCAGGTTTACTGGACACAAAAGAACCCACGCGTTCTAATGGAGACGCAGCATAGTTACAATCCCAAAATTCCTGTTTGGTTTGGAATGCATAACATGACTTCGCTAGGTCCGTATCTGTGATGACACAGTCGATGGGACAACTTCTCTACAGTTGCTTTCAACGTCGGTCACACAGTCTATTCAATCCCAGAGAACACAGAGAAAATACATAGGGTTTATTTTCGGCAAGATAGTCGAGCTGTCGATCATCATTCGAGGCCTGTGAGAACATGGCCTGGGCAAAACAAAAATGAATCGGCCGAGGTGATGGACCTTGGCCATGGCAGCCGAGAGCTCCACAGTTGACCCCGTTAGATTTTTTTTTCTTATGCAACCGACTGAAGTCTATTGTTTACGCTCCCCAGCCGCAATGCTTGATCGGCGTGAAAGAAGATATCAGAAGTGCATCACAAAACAATCTTCTTGAACTAGCCCGCGAAGTTCGCATGAATCGACTAGTGTGTTGAGAGTGAAGAACAGAGCATTGAACACTTGCTGATATCCCTAATGAATATTCGTAATTCAGTGACCAAATGACAATTCATCTTTCTTTTCTAATAAATGGTTACTCACGTCCTGCTTAGACGAGTCAAACATTGGTCCGCGTCATCATCGCTTAAACTTTTTCATTTCGACTTTCCCACATGGCGCATCGTTCCACAACTTATTCTCCTGTGGTGATTCTCTATCAACACTTAAGCAGCANGCGAATTCAGTGCTTGTCCACCGCCTATGCCGACCCGAAAATCACACGACCGATCGGGTTCATTTATCGATCGGTCATATAGTTCAGCCGCAACAAGGTGCTTGGTGCTTGTCTTGCTAACCCGAGCGGGAAACCAAACCTTGTTTGCAGCCGCGAGTCTTAGACCGGCCCGGTGAACTTTGACTGTACAACAGGCGTGCCTTCACCACACGGATGGACTACACGTGACAAGAGCATCACAAAGAGTGCCTTGAGGCGTACCTTATGAATTCTATTGCAGCATCATGCGACGGAGGTAAGCAATGGCTCAAGCGTTCACCGTGCATGCTTCACTGGATTCAGCGGAAGGGGGACAAACACACACGTACACACACACACAGAAGCGTACACGTACTAGCACGATAAACGATCGATATGTATTTCATGGGAATTGAGGCGTNTAGCCATAAGTTAGAGCTTGTTTAACTTTTTCTCTGGTGGCCTGCATGCTTATCTAACACATCGATGTAAGTCCGAAAATCTTCTCTCCTTTGGACTTGCTTCATAAAACGTTGGGCAGAAAAATGTCTTACCCCTTTTCAGATCCGCGAGCCTAGATAATATCACGTCAGGTGCATAGGTTGTTTCATCCTTTGTTTACCTATGTGTGATATTCATCAAGTGATACTGTGCCTTCATCGTTTCCTCTGGGTTGATTGCAAGAACCTTAAGATACTGCGTTGTGGTTCAGTTATGATAACCGAAAAGTGTCCTGATCTCCTAAAAGTGACTAACTTATGGAACATTTTCACAATTTCTGATTGATGTTGGCTTCGGTAATCACTATTCTAAGAACGGTCACGATGGTGTTCCCACCATGGTGAACCTGAATCGAGAAATGCGACAATGGCAGTAAGATTGTTCGAAGACAGTTTGCACTTACTACTTGTGAATGTCATACGTCAACCATAATTCACCCGGTTTANGGGGTGTTGAAGTAAGACTGTACGATTTCGGCGATAAAGATGATCGAATTCAGATCCTATACTCAGAAAAGTGTATTTTGGAAATATTTCAAATTTTTACACTAGCATTTTCTTCTAGAATTCCGTAATGGTTATGAAAATTATGACATCTTTCGACAGCCCTCGTTATGTTATTTCTACTGCAGTCGATTTGATAGAAATCTCTCATTCCGTTCCGAAAATGACCCAAATGGTCATCTTGATTGTTCTGTACTTGAACGTGGTTCCGTGGTTTTATCACAAAGATGGATTGGGACCTGAAATTGTAGAACAAAGTGGATGCGAATCTGGTCAACACCAATGTGCATATCGATCGAGCATTATCTATTAGTGTCCCAGTGCAGCCGCTTGAGGCGTACCTTATGAATTCTATTGCAGCATCATGCGACGGAGGTAAGCAATGGCTCAAGCGTTCACCGTGCATGATTCACTGGTATCAGCGGAAGGGGGACAAACACACACGTACACACACACACACACACACAGAAGCNACGCGTACTAGCAAGATAAACAATCGATATGTATGTCACGGGAATGGAGACGACCCACAATCGTCACCCGCACTTCAACGGGAGGTAGACAAATCGGTACTTCATGGTGGTCATCCAGACATCGTTGGGAGGCTTGTCAGCACCGGTGTGGTCAATGTGGCAGTTTGAAATGACCCGAGGATACCTTCAAATGATGCTGGGACATCTTGAAATAAGGGTCAGGTAACTTGAAATGATTCCCGGACATCTTAAAATGATATGAGAACATCTTGATTTGATATTGGGACAACTTGACTTGCAAAAGGTATAGTGCTATTACTCAGTTCTGACTGCTCTAAAGGTATTGATCAAACTTGTGCATCACCGAGGCTTTCATAACATTGATCTCTCCCAACGTTTAGTGTNTGGTAGTCATCCAGAACGCGCTGGGAGGCTTCTCAGCACCGGTGAGGTCAATGTGACAGCTTGAAATAATCGCAGGACACTTTGAAATACCCACAGGACAGCTTGAAATAATTCGGGGACAGTTTGAAATGATTCCTGGACCACATGATATGATACTGGGACAACTTGACATGAAAAAGATATAGACAGTGTGAAACGATAGAGCAACCGCACTATCGTACTATCCATGTAGTCAAAGTTTTATTATGGGCATTACTTACAAGCAAATGCTTTTCTTGTCCCATAGGGTGTTTACGCGAATTGAACTGTAACAATGATGAACAAAATTCCATTTGACTTATGCGGTTGTCTTATGTGTGCTCTTGGATGTTGGAATCTAATGTATGCTAATGATTCGTCAAGTTTTACCTTGAAAGAATCAATGGTCTTGGCACAAACGGCATGAGATGGTAAGGAATTCCAGGCAGTGCACACTCTGACGGCGAAGGAAGAATGATGTCAACAGTCCAGTCGAGATTTTTGGGTGTCCCGGTAGATGAACATTTGGTGATAACGTCAAACATAGCAACAGGACATCTTTAAATGATATTCGGACAACTTGAGTTGAAAAAAGTATAGGTAATACTACTTGTCACTTTGGGTTTTTGATAATTGACCGATTTTATAGCAGATTCTCACCTCGGGCATCCGATGCAATGCTAGTCCATCTCAGAGTGCCACGTTTTGTGTTACTGTTTAGAAAGCAAAAAAACTCACTTGTCGCTGGTTAATAACTGCGCTTTCCAGCCCTGTGAGGCTATACGATGACATTCAATACAGAGGTGTGAATGATACTCATCGGTCCAACAGACTGATTCGGAATACTTTCTTGTCAAGTGCTCCCTTGAGACAGCTTGTGACATGCACGCGGGTACTATTCTACCAG